TAGCATATCTGAAATCATCATCAAATTCCCTATCGATTGATGTATTCTGTTTCCTTGTAAACCACCCCCAGGAAAAGGGAACCTGTTTTGCTATGATCTGTGCTTTTATCTTAGGTACTAATACCAGGCGCATCTATCAGTCATATGATCTATTATATCAGACAGAATTGAAACGGTTAACTGGTTTGATTTGCCTTTTAATTTTTCCAGTTTTTGTTATCATATCGCATTTTATCTTCAAAGTTTTGTTATTTTAAAATATATTAGTTCTAATTATGTATTGATCAAAAATGTTGATAGGAGAGTATAATAAAACTATAAGCAGTTGATTGGATGAACACTTTTTCCATTGTCACAAAGAATATATAAACCTGGTCCATTGTCAAATAAATGTTATATGAATAATTTATTTCATTATATTATTCTTATTATTAACTACTATATTATTTCATTGTATTATTGTTATTATTAAAAAAAGTAAAAGGTACTTTACATTTAAAACAGCTAATGATCACCACATGTGTCATAATTTATTCTATAAAAAAACCTGCTAGATAAAATCTCTTTTGGGCACATGGTTTTCATCTAAAAATGCTTTCGATAATTGAAACCATGGAAAGTAGACGGTGAACTACGGAAGTACAAAATTGTTTTTGATTTGTTTGCAGATAAAATGTCTATGAAGTTTGGCCGTGATTTGTTATGTCATATTTGTCAGCCGAAAGAGCACTCTCTAGTCTTTGAAAACGAGTTACTTTGTATTACTTGTTGTATTGATGAACAAAACGATTTGAGAAGACAAAGTGATTTATTTCCAATAATGCAAAGCGCTCGATTGCTTAAAATAATTAATGATCAAACAGATCAATTGAACGATGTAAGTTAAATGTAAGTTAACTTTTTGTAATAAGTGCCCGTTTTAGGAATATGACGGGACTAACCTGTGATGCTCCAAAAACAGCTTGTTAGTACATTTTAAAAATTCTTGTTATGACTGTCGTACGCAGAAGTATTCCCTCTATAAAATACACAAATAAAATTTCTGGGATGAGTATACAGCAGTTGAGAAAATACAAATTACATGAAAAAACCATGTTTTCCAAAAACACATTTTTTCAGTATTTTCGATCGTCGAAGCGAACTATGCGCTTTTTGGTCGACTGAAACACTCTGTTTTGTTAAGAATTGTCTGTTTTATCAAGTGAGATATTACTCGAAAAGATCGGTGAAGTATTTTCAGCGTTACAGCCAAAATACTGCTTCGTATGCTTCTTCAGAGACCAGTGAGACTCTCGTTGGCGAAAAAATTCCTGGTCTGGGAACCACGGGAGTTGAAAGTGAAAAAATCTGGATTTGTAGGTTTTCAATGACGAAGAATCGAATTAGACACTTTCTAACCAAAAATAAATTCTTGCATGTTATGATATAATAAGGAAATTGTCAATCGGCACAGAAAGAGTCTCTTAAAACTGTCATGCAGTGAATTTGAGGATCACTTTTCTAATATTTAAGTGCATTGGTGACACTATAGCGGATACACTTAGCTGTCTGGCCGCGTACGGCGATAAGACCCTTTCCTTTATAGTCAAGGGAAAATTAATGTATTTCCTTTGTAAACGAAAGAAACACGTAGTACAATTTCCTTAACGACATGTCGTTTAGTCCACTATCTTCATTCTCTTTCTTGCGATACAAATTACGAAATTATAAACGGATTGTGACGGGAAAAAGAAACATACTGCTCTACAATATGTTCTTTTCTTCATTAATTTTATCATACAAACAAGTCTTTCTCTTAGTCCAACAGTCGAACGAAATGAGGAAATAAAAAGATATGTTCTAGAAAGAACATGTTCATTTCTTATAAACATGTTGGCAGTCTTTCGTTCCATCTCTACGCGTGCAAAAATATATGCGTAGAATATAGTCCACGTTCTACGCGTTAAATTATTTTCAATGGCTATTAAATACTCGTTTTGTTCTACTCTTCTTTGCTTTTTGCTCATATCATACGCTATGTTCACATGACAACGCTAATCACGATTAGAGCGAAAACAAAACTTGGTCATACATCTCCGAATGGAAAAGAAATGAATACTATCTAATTAATTTCTATTTAAGTTGAGCGATTTTCCATTAAAGTCATAATCAGCGATATTTTTCTCGTGTAGAAGCGTACATTAACATTTAGACTAAAAGACAATTTCTCTACAAAAAAAAATTCGATACGGCATCGCAAAAAATATGATTGGCATCGGTGATGCGCGGTGTGCATGCCATGCAATGTCACTGGCATCGTCAAAGATCGGTGCACACCGGTGCCCGAGCGATGCCAGACAATGCCAAATTGGCATCCGAGCGCATCGATGCCGATTTTTCACTTCAGAAATGATGCCGCATTGCTAAAATTCAATACTGCATTGTTTTTCTCTAGTGTCATTCTATGAAAAAAAAATTCGATGTGGCATTGCAAAAAAAAGGATCGGCATCGGCGATGCGCACCAGTGCTCATGCCATGCCATGATCATACGGCATTGCCTTGGCACTTCCCTTATGATAAGTAAAAGATGTGGGCCGAAAAGATATTCAAAATATATATAGTAATATTACAAGTATACTATGGTGTTTATATACACGAACAATAACAAAACAAATGGTGATCGAAAAAGAAACTTGCATCGATGCCAAACGAAATTGTTTTTATGGCATCGGTGCGCAATGGTGCCAGAAGATTTTAAAACTCTCGCACTCGTGCGCATCGATGCTCAGAAGCAAAATTTATTCGGCATGAGTGCGCACTCGTGCACAAGCGGTGCCAACAAAAATTTTTTGTAGGGTTGTTCTACTGTATTTCGTTCTTTAAAGAAAATATAATTCAAACATAAGAAATTAGAAAACATAATAAACATATAATTCAGCTTTGTATAAGTTAGATAGTGCAACTAATAATAGAAAACGAAAATTTGTTCCATTCTGTACATAGCAGTTTTTTCGCTTTTTACAAGGAACCCTATAAAAAAAGATTAATATGGCAGAGCCTGCTAACAAGCCTGCACATTCAGTTCCAGCAGGCAAGATCTGCTCGTGAGAAGCGTTCCACGCGTTCAATTATTTTTGATGGCTTCCCTTATATGTTCGTGCCACTTGAATCAGTTTAGTCGAAGCTTTCGTCGTTTACTAATTATTTGTCGACAAATAATGACATCGAACGAATGATACATAATTGTCTGGAGTACTATAACGTGTCAGACAGATATCGTCGCATGTTTCACATACCGTATGGTCACAGGGCATATAAACCTTTTGTACGATGTTTGTTAAACAAATCGCACATGTGAATAATGTCGTAAGCTATTCAAAAAACAAAATATTGATGGTGTGACCAACACGTTGCACTTCTGCAAAAACAGTTTCAATTATAGCTGAGCTATTCACACGAGAATCCTCCAGTTTATTACCCAATGCTAAATCGATATCATGACATGCATCTCGAAGAATATCGACTGCTTTTGATTTATTTGCACCAGCATAACCGGCTATAGCTGTATAAAACGATATATTACTCATCATATTACCAGCACATAACATTTGAGCATAATTTGAAAAATACCCAATACATGGCAGTAAAAGTGTAACCAAATAACTACTTGCAAGTTGGAATGAATCGCAAATATTATGGATTATTTTACTCGTTCCTTCATCCAAAAAGAAATTTTCTTTCTTTTATGGTTGAGGCGAAAAATCAACAAGAAATCGTGTGTGCTACAATTGAAAGTGTTTTTGCAGAAGTGCAACGTGTTGGTCCTCATCTTCTTCAATTGTATGATGAGCTAAATACTTTTTTGGGTTCGTTGGGATTGTATAAAGCTGCAGGTGGAGCTACATACGACAGAAGTTTAATTAATCAATTGTACAACACGCTTCGATATATTGGACGTCAGACAGTTACTAATAGTAATAATATTGAGAATCCATCTCTCAATATAGGTGGACCTGGTCATCCTGATGAGTTAATCAATGGTATCCGTTCGGACATGCACGGCGATGGTTTTTTCAGTCGATTTCTTATCTCAGCACCCAAACCATCAATTCCATATATAGAAGAAATTAAAAATATTGAATCTAGTATTCCGTCAATTACACATCTTCTTTATACAATTTATGTTTTTCATGCTGATGCCGTTGGTGACGGGATTATCTATATGTATTCCACTAAAGCTCTTCAGATAATGAAAGAAAAATTTAATCATTTTACTGATGTGGTAAATGAAGCCCTTGAGTATGATGCATTTATTACAACTGTTTATTCAAAAGCTAAGGTTCAAGTTCAACGTTTAGCGGGCGGCGATCCATGTGGCTAAAATAGCGAGTACAATTTTGAAAGGATGCAAAAAGGTTGATTATAACTCTCGAAAGAAGTGAGACAGGAATAGATGAAAATGTAAAAAGTGTAAAAGAATGAATGCGACCACATTCAGTGTTATTAGTGAAACAACATGTAAAAAAGCCTGTGCTTTAATGGATTATTTCATTAAACAAAAAGGAGAAATTGGACAAAGTGAGTTATTCTTTGATTACGAAACTATTCAGTTAGCTGAGAATAGCTCATGAATGGCTAGAATTCTTAAATTACAGATTTTTAAGCCGTTCTGTGCGCACACTGGCATTATTGCTAACTATACTGTATTCGACTGTTCTAGGACCGGTACAAGAAAATGTTGAAGAAATGAGAAAACGAGATGAAGATTTAGAATTACTTGAAACACAACAAGAGCAGCTACTCGTTGGTTCTGGTCGTGATTATAATAAATCATTCGAACTAGGTGTGACGGCAAGTGCAGGCGTCGAAGCTTTATCAGGTGGAAGTTCCGAAAATATTCTAATCGATACAGATGTGTTATCAAGTGAAGATACGGAAAATACATTGGATAATGTGGATGTATTATTACATCAAAGTGTCAAAGGTCAAACTCATTCTCGTACGAAGGTAGGAAGTACAAAATTGTTTTTGATTTGTTTGCAGATAAAATGTCTATGAAGTTTGGCCGTGATTTGTTATGTCATATTTGTCAGCCGAAAGAGCACTCTCTAGTCTTTGAAAACGAGTTACTTTGCATAACTTGTTGTATTGATGAACAAAACGATTTGAGAAGACAAAGTGATTTATTTCCAATAATGCAAAGCGCTCGATTGCTTAAAATAATTAATGATCAAACAGATCAATTGAACGATGTAAGTTAAAGCTCCATCTGTTCATATAATTCTTCAATTTTATACATACAGGATATTATTTTGTTTAGTTAAAATCAACACTGATAAAAGAAAAAGATCAAACAAAACAAAGAGAGCAAAAAATTGATCGAGTAAGCCTAAATTTATACATTTCCATACTACTGAGACCGATGTCAAGATAGAGATCCGAGACAAGGTGAGGGTGTCAAAGAAAAAATAAACTTTTGTATCAGTTGCTTTTTTTAACATATTCTGCGCGTTTATTGTCACGTAGAAGTACGAAAAGATTGCTCATACTAATTCAAAAAATAATTTGTTTTAAAAAATCTTCACCGTTTCACACCATCAATATTTTGTTTTTTGAATAGCTTACGACATTATTCACATGTGCGATTTGTTTAACAAACATCGTACAAAAGGTTTATATGCCCTGTGACCATACGGTATGTGAAACATGCGACGATATCTGTCTGACACGTTATAGTACTCCAGACAATTATGTATCATTCGTTCGATGTCATTATTTGTCGACAAATAATTAGTAAACAACGAAAGCTTCGACTAAACTGATTCAAGTGGCACGAACATATAAGGGAAGCCATCAAAAATAATTGAACGCGTGGAACGCCGACGTGGACGCATAAATAAATTTATTCATTTCGGTCGACGCGTAGATATAGATGAATATCGTTCTTTTCTCTTTTTCTCACTTCCCTATAAAAAAAGATTAATATGGCAGAGCCTGCTAACAAGCCTGCACATTCAGTTCCAGCAGACAAGATTCTCACGAGCAGATCTTGCCTGCTGGAACTGAATGTGCAGGCTTGTTAGCAGGCTCTGCCATATTAATCTTTTTTTATAGGGTTCCTTGTAAAAAGCGAAAAAACCGCTATCTACAGAATGGAACAAATTTTCGTTTTCTATTATTAGTTGCACTATCTAACTTATACAAAGCTGAATTATATGTTTATTATGTTTTCTAATTTCTTATGTTTGAATTATATTTTCTTAGTAGTGTGCCAAAACACTTCTGTAGTGTAAATTTAAAAGTGTTTTTTTTCTATTCTTCCGTTTAACTGCTTTTTTCCGTTTTTTAATGCAATTGTACATTTTGGCTTTTTCAACGAAAAACAATTATAG